TAGCTGAGGGTTTAAAAGGAAAAACAAAGGCTCCTGTCTATTGCTGGTACTGTGCCTATGTATTTCATAAGGTTTCCTGTGTTGCAAGAGTGAACACAATAACTGTGTAAATCACACAAACACGCTTCAAATATGGGCTCTGATTTTCAGAATCAGAATTTGGGATTTCTGAAGAAGAAAAAAAACCACTTTTCACATGGCTATAGGAGATCCCTTGGCTTCCCTGTCCACAAGCCACCAGATGGCAACATCTCTTGGATGCAAATCCAAGATACTCTATGAGATTTGCTGCATTTGTTGTCTGGCTTTCCTGTCCTGCTTAAATCTCTTCATAAGACCTCTTTCAACCCAGCTCCACCATGGTAACTCAGAGGATGCAATTAGCACTGGAGTCCTTAGTCACCTACCAGGCAAACCCAAACATGTGATTCCAGCAGGGCTTTAAATAGCTGCCCAGGCTGGGGGCCCATTGTTTGATAGCTCAAATGTGAATTCTGAAAATAGGAGGTTTGGACAGGATTTCCACTTTTAGAGGAGTAGGAAATGAAATCATGTTTTAGTAAAGCTCTGTTTAGGGGTGTTTTGTCTCCATGTGCACCCTGTTTAACAAGAAAAAAGTCTGAAGAGTTTTGCTGCTGCCTTTTTAACCACACCCCATATCAAAGACACAGGTACCAATTAGATGGACAGGTCTAAGGCCGTACATTAACTTGTCTGCTAATGACTTAGAGCTCAGAAATCTCCACCTTTTCTCCTGCTCATTGTTTTTGTATCATTATCGTGTAGAGGAGGCAGTGCTATCATACTGATGTATCTTATCTCTGCAGGGGTAAGTACAGAGAGACCAGAACCCCATGTTTTCATTTTTTGTTCTTGTGTCTTGCCCAAAGCAAGCGTCATTAAGTGGCCCAGTAAGGAATTCTTTAGTTCAAGGGTTCTTGTCTCATTTAAAGTAATTTTTAAAGTGTGGTTTTACGTGAAGATGAGGAATTTGCTTTATCACAACAGAAGCAGTCACTGCACCCATCTCTACATAGACTGAAATAGTTTTTTAACTTCTGTATTTTTCCTGCCACACATTGGCACTTCTCAAAACAGCTAGAAGTAGTGAATTGTTTCCAAACTAAATTTAAAGTAACTGAGTAGCAGAAGGAGAAATGGGGTAAAATGCAATGCAGGAAGAATTAAGGGGTGGGTTATTTAACTTTTATCACAGTTAAGCCAGCATATAAATGACCTAATTTTGTACTGTGGCAGAAAAAAAAGTATGAAGAAGAGAAGCCCAGCCATAAACATGAAGTTATTCTGTGCAGTCTGAGACATCAGCAAGGTAGAACTGTCATGTTTGTCAGAAGAGTTAAAATTCGAACAGGGATACTGCTGGATGATACCAGTGTGGTGATGTTCAGTATTTCATTATTTGCTTTTGACTGCTGTTTTGGCCAGCGGGCCTGATTTCTGGAGAAGACTGGAGGCAATCAGGAGGGGTGCTGAACAGCATCGCAGACCTGATCACGTTGTAAAGCACAGAGATTTATCTTCCCTTCTGTGGGTGCGCTCATCTGTGTGATTTATTCAGATACGTGTGTTTTGAGCCCACCAAAATGCAAACCTTTACAAATAGGCTATAAATAGGCTTATCACTCTTCCTGACACGCCCACGTTTTTATTTTGCCTTTTTAATGAGTTGGACATTTTTCTATTCCGTTTCTGGGGAAGGTATATGAGGGAGTTATAGTAGTCAATAGTTGAACACCCTGATGCTTGCAAAGTGCATGACTTGGTGCCTAACCCATATTAGGAGAAAGCCTTGCTGTCTGCCAGCCAGAGCAGAAAAGATGATCAGAGCAATAGTGTCTGTTCTGACACCGCCCAGAGCTCTTTGTGATCTTGGGCAAGTTACTTAACCTCATAAAAACAGATTTGGGCTTGTTTTAGATGATAACCACTTATCTCCTGAGAGTGCCAGAAAGCTTAGCTCACTTTTTCTAATGGTCTGAGAAAAAGGTCTGTTGAAGTTCAGATATTAGTCTAGGCGAAGCAAGCAATGGTCTTTGATGTTGAGAGAAGCGTTGCCCTACCGACAATTCCTTCAGAAGGTTCATGTATTGGGGACATGTTTGCTTACATCGTTTCTGTAGAGGTTTCAAAGCAGGGGGGCAGAGACCTCTTGAGCAATCTTTTTAGTATTGGCCATGCTTGTTACTTACTGGCTTCTCTTTTGTTTGAACTGTTTGCCAAAAGTCAGAACCTGTCCCAGACTCTTACGCCCTGAGTCTGACATCTTCTCAGATGTAAGGAAGGAGAACATCAAAGCATTGTCAGCGGTTGCCCTTTCGAAGAACATTCCCCAGGGTTTAGCAGGATGCCTGTTTGATCCTATTAGATGAAAATGGATCGTCAGCTCTGTCACCTCCCTTTCAAGGCTGTATTAGATATCTGGGGGAGTTTCAAGAGAACCATTGTTGGCTGCAGATCAGGACGTGGCCTTTTTGTCGCCTCCCCTTGCATTGCATTGAACAATCCTGTAGCTTTGCTTAATTTTGGGGCTGGTGTTTAACATATGCTCCATCCAAGGGAATTTTGTGTACATCCATGATGTACCGGTTTAAGAAGACGACGTGTCTTGACTGAGGTTTCTCTAGTTGTTGCCATTATGGAGGAGCTTTTGCTGTCCCTCAGAGGAGTTGTTTGGCTTCATGACAAGGAAGTGACTGTCCTGAAGTATTTCTCTGTAACTGCTCATGGGCTGTGTTTGCCTTCTGCTTCAATTCTGAAAGTCAACTGGCTTTCTGGCTGAGTAGCCATATTCTAGGTTATTTTGCAGATGGCATTCTTCTGGGAATAGACAGAAAATAATATGTTAAAAAAAAAAAGATTTAGCTTTTCTCATGCTATTAAGGAGTCTTTTATTATGAATTTTTTACCTTTGCATTCTAGTGAACTTCTACCACTTTGCATGAGGGAGAGCCAAGTTCGCAGCACTTGAGTCCGCTCCTGTAGGGTAGTATGGCATTCTCAGCGGGCTGCATGCTTTTGTGGAGGTTTTAAACAAAATAAATTAGTCTTACCAGCTCCTATTTCTGATGTCCTTAAGAAGATAAGCAAAGCAAGAAAGCGGAGGGGTGTACACTTCTGAACTGCGTTAAAAGCGAGCTCCCCAAAAGTTGCACCATCTCCTCGCTTCTCCCTTGAATATTTGAGGCTCCTACTGTGAGGGCAGGTGGAGTTTCTGAATGGGTTTCCAGGCTGCTGAGATCCCTGCCACTGCCTGTCCTATTGATTGGTGATGTATTACAATGCATGTGCAATATTTCCAAGAACAGTAGAAGTAGGTCTTCTTACCCTTATTCTTTTTTATAACATCAATACTAGTATATCTATTCCTTCAGCTTTCACATTATCCTCTTGCAAATAGATGCCTGGTGCTGGAAGGAAAGAAGCTTTCTCACCTTTCAGCTTCAGAGCCTCCCAGTTGTACTGAGCTGTTGCAGTGACATCCGTGTGTGTTTTCATCCTCCCCTTCTACACTTGGCTTTGATACCTTTCCAGCTGCATTTGCTCTGCTTAGGAAGCCATGCAGCCTCGTCTCTGACAATTTTGGTGCTACCCGCAGTGTCCTAATAGCAGTTTTGACCTTTCAATTAACTTCAGGATCGCCTCTTTCAGCAGACAAAACCTGTATAGATGCCAAAAGCCTCAGAACAGATTCAGAAGGTTGGCTGAAAGACCATGAAGATTAGGGACATATTTTTCCTTTTGTCAGGGAAATCAACAGCAAAGGGCCCCGACACAAGAAGGAAACTTTCCCACTGACCACAAATAGGGGCTTAAATTGAATTTTCAAGCCTTTAAAAATAAATCGTCATTTTGTATTTAATTAAGCAGGGTTTCATGAATGTAGTAGTATGCTGAGGTCATGGGCAAAAAGAAGCTTTTCCAGTAATTAGTGCAGGGTCCATGCTGTTCTGGCAAAAACAGCCATGACGTCAGTCCGAGACTGGAACAAGAAACTGTGCTGTACGGTGAACTTGAAACACAAACCTTATTATTGAAGGGGTATGTCTGACAATTACAAGTGCTGATTGTGTTGAACACATAGTATATTTTTCCTTTCAAAATTGCAAAAAAGGTGTTGTGGGTTTTGTTGTTTTTTTGGTTTTGTTTGTTTGTTTTGTTTTTTTTTAGTTTCTGAGTCAATGAAATTGCTGCTGTGCCAGGGCATCCTTTCTCTTGCTTCCCTTGCCCTAAATAAATAAATAAATAAACCTAAAAGTTATCAAGCTTCCAACCTTTTTGTTTTGTAAATACAGAAAGTGGCCATTTCCATGTTTTTATTTAGCAGAAGCGGCTTAGTTTTAGTTTTGTTATGTGAACCCAAATCCAAAGGGCAGGTGCAGCAGTGAGCCTGAGATCTGAGAGCATGCACAGGGCATGCCTGGGCAGGTTGCATTCTCATAGCCATTGCTGCTTTTTAGGCCTTTGTTTTAGGTGAAATTGTGGTGTTTTATGTACAAGCCAAGTGTTGTGACAGCATTTGGAGTACGTAGTTTTGCAGCACTTGGATTCTGGTTTCTGGTGAGTTACTGGAGTCCTGTGGAGCTGGAAAAGAAAAGTTTGACTATATAACCTGACTGTTTGGACTGCAATTTCCATTGGTATGTTAGCAAATTCTTCACTTGAATTACTTAACGCTCTGGAGTTTACTTGTAGCTGGTCAAAAATAGTGTGGTCAGATAAGAGTGGCTTACATTTCTTGGTTTATATTGTGCCAAACAGAAGAGTTCCACATGTTTTCCTTTTAAGTCTGTAATAAATACTTACCCCGATGATACATATAAATTCCCAAGATAATGTTTAATTTAGAGTTGCAACTCTCAATAACTTTCTCTTACCCGATTTAGTGTTAAAGACTATGTGGTCAAATGAGTTGCTCAGTTGTGTTTCTTCAGTGCATGCAATTGTTCTTTTTTACCATGTCCCTTGGTTTTATTTTGCAGGCCATGACTGCTGTGAGACAGTGAAGGTGGCGCTTTGTGCCTCTAGAGAAGGTCATCCTGTTCTCGTTGTGGCAGAAGAGAGTTTCCAGTTTGTCCAGGATGAAGCCTATGATGCTGCCCAGTTTCTGGCCACCTGTGCCGGCAACCAGCAGGCACTAAATTTCACCCGGTTCTTGGACCGGTCAAGACCACCTGCTGCGGACGTGGACTTTTTGGATGAGAAGGTGGCTTTGGCATTTCGACACCTGAAGCTGCCGGCAGAATGGAATGTGCTGGGAGCAGACCAGTCCCTGACCGGTGAGGACCTCTAGGGCACGCGTGAGACTTGTGGGTTGGGAGAGAGGTAAAAAGCCTGGGAGAAATGGTTCCCTGCTTTGGGAATCCTCCACACACCTTTCAAAAGGTGTGTTAGTCTCCGTGCTCAGAGATGGGATGTGATGTGCACCAGCATGCTCCTACTACATCTACATCCTATGCTTTGCACTTCAGCCACCTTAAAATATGTAAGGCACGGATGTTTTCTCTGTGTCTTCTCATATGAAATAGCACAATCTGTTGTAAATGGTCAATATTTTAACATATACCCAGAAACGGGTTTTTTTGTGTGTGTATGCAATGGTAAGTGTATTAGCATCACGCTTCTGAGATTTCCTGAAAGAAGCATGTGTCTAGAAAGTCTGATGCTCCTGGAAATATCCTTGTGCCACAAATTTGGCGCTTTTGGTAATTGTTGGTTTTATCACACAGGTGCAAAGCGACTGTAAAGTGTAAAATAAATCTGATTTTTCTTGGAGAAGTTGGGGCTCTGCCCCTGAGGATTTGTATCGCATCCCTGGTTGGACACTGGCTGAGCAAATACAAGCGTTCCCCAAAATAAGCCTGGACAATTTTGCAAATAAAAGAAGGCGAAGGTGGGAAACCCTGACCCTTAACCACAGCAGCGAGGGCTACTGAGAGCTTATAAATAAACCCCAAGGCTGGCCCAAAGTCTCTGGTGACTGCTGAAGCATAAGTGCCAAGGTTTTCGGGATGCTATGGCATGTCCATGTCCTTGGAGTTCTGCTTTTTTTTTTTTTTTTTTTTTCTCCTCTCTGTCCCCGGGGGGTTTAAGGAAGCATATTGAAGGACTGGGGGACTAGTTCCAGTGTGTACAAATCCTTGCTGTAAATTTTCAGGGTATTTTGGCAAAGAGTTTCACTTAACAAAAATGGCTGTGAGGCATCTGTTATCTTTGACAGGATGCAATAGTGTAAACACTTGGATAGGAATGGGATGTGGCTTGCTCGGAACAGCAGATCAGTTCTGCTTGCTGCAGCAGGGTTTTCTGCAGGAGATTTTCCTGCTTTATTTTTCACTGACTTGCTTGACTGCTTTTGTAAATGTGAATACACAGACAGGCAATTCAAGCAGCGTTAGCAGATTTTAAAAGACTTGAACACATTTAATGGTTTCTGGATAGAAATTGAGATGCTGTCATATGTTTACAAGGAGAGAAACACTTGGTATTTTTTTCCCCTGTGTGGAAGACACTGATGTTTGTTTCTGCATTAAAAAAAGTTGTGATAATGCAGACATTTCTGGTTTAAGTGATAAAAATACATCAGAATGATCTTAAGTTAACAAAAACTTTGATTGAAGCTCTGAATTGTTGCTGATTTTGCGGGAAGGCTGAGATCCAGTTTCTCTTTCTGACTTTGATTATTCTTGGGAAAAACAGCACTTGGGGAAATCAGGCCATAAGATTTATATTGATTTGCTCAGCATGTGCTTGTGTGTCTGAAAGTCGTGATCATGTGGGGCTCTGAATGCTAATGGACCGGTAGAGCATCCATTGCATCTACAGTGTGAACAGGGGGAGCTCTGTAGTGCTGAGCTCTGTAGTGCTGGGCATTTTGGCATCTTGTAGTGAGGTTTTTGCAGACAGAAGTGTAAGTGAGTAAACATAATGGCACTAAATGCAACTTTCATCCAAGAATATTGGTACTGTGAAATAAGTTCCCTTCTGGCGAGTCCTTTCATAAGTAACTGAAAAAGGGCAGTTTATTGATGTCTTGGTCTGTCTTTCATCTTCTGATGAGCTTTTTTTGCTAGAGGTAGATTTATGTGGTAAATTTTTGCATTGAGATAATTATACATGGGGAATTTGGGGGAATTTTTTGTGATTGTGACAGGGAAGATTTGCATGGGTAAGCTTCCTTTTTGTCATAAAACTCTGTTTTGCTACAGTGAGATGGAAGAGATGTCCCTGACTTATGATGAAGCGCTAGGTTAGAAAAACCTCTGGTAAAATCTAGGACCCCTGTACTGGTGTTTGTGGGTTAATTTGTGTGGGGGAGAGAGAAGAGCACAGCAAAGATTGAAACTGTGGAAGCATTTGAACAATTGGACATATTCTGGTCAGCACCCCTCCAGTGGGACACCCCGTCCTGCACTGCATCACTACCTATGAACAGCTATTCCAATTCATATTTCACTTTTTGCTAAATGTCAGGACCAGATACTTCAAATAACCTTCTCAAAGTAGAAAATGCTGTAGAAAGGAGAACAAAAGAAAATGTCAGATCCCTTCTTGAAAGATTCTTAGTGCTGCCTCTGAGCTGGCATGTCTCTGTGGGCTCTTGTGGGTTTGAAACAAAACGCTGCTGTTTAGCAAAACCTCTGAAGGCAGGAGTGAGGCGGGAGCCTCAGCCAGCTCCCTGAGTGCTGCAGCTTGATGGGGAACTGCTGTTCAGAGATGGCCGTTGCTGTCAAGCATGTTTAAAAGTTGATTTTTCTAAGGACTGAAGTAGAAGTCTAGCTTTTACAAAAGGTAGTGGCCTTTCTGCAGGCAGAAGCTAAGTAGAAGATCCACCATCAAGCACAACTCTGTGGTGATTTTTGAGGAGGGGGTGGCTCTATGTAGAGGCTTCTCCTTGCTTTTGCTTGCACCCAACCCTGACCAGTCTTTGAGCAGAGGGCAGGGAGTTCATTGCCGTCACACACCCCAGAGGGCAGAGAAGCTGCTAAAAGTAACACCCAGCTCCATCTGCTGAGGATGTTTAACTAATCTTTCGTGTCAATAGGTTTGTGCAGTGTGAAGTTCACAGTTAAGGTCCCCACACTGAGGAGAAGGAGGGACGTAACACCCCATGTGCTCCTGGCTACCAGCAGACTGGTGGCTGCATCATTAAAATAATCTTCAGTGGTTTGCGTTCATCCATTATTATTCCTTATGTTATTGCAGCAGCATCCCTCCCTCTTTTCTAACACATTAGTAGGTTTGACCTTTTAGTAGGGAAACGTGCAGGATTATTGTTGACAAAGCTATGTGAGAATCATCTACTTGCTTATGTTTTGGTTACCAAACGAAGGTCTTCATTCTTTAAGAGTTTGCCATTGCTCAGGATTACAGGTATGGTATGGTCATATAGCCAAATTGTTAAGAGCACATCCTTTCAGCTGCATGTTAGAAATACCTCCAAGATTATTTAAAACTGCTGGAAGACGTTTGCAAACATTCCAGTGCCCCTTTTTTGTTATATTTATTTGTATGTAACCTACTTAAGCTAGCTGTTGCCATTTGACATAGAAGTTTGTTCCGCTTCAGTAATCCTGGTAATCTTTCACAGTAGGTAGTCTTTACATTTATTCCTTTGTTACCTCTTTAGACACCATATTCATTCAAACAAATTGAAAATAAAATGAACATTTCTTCCTGTATCATCATCAGTGCATTTTCAAAACGCCACTATGTTCATTTGCAGTATTCTCATTCTTTTTTTTTTTTTATTGGTCTAGAGCAGCAAAAGGGTTTATTGCTTAAAAAGAAACTGTCCAAAGATTAAATGCATTGAGCAGCATTGGTTATTCTAATTCCCAAAGTAATATTATTTTAATGATTTGGTTAACTTGCTCAAAACCGAATATTTATTAATTTATATTACTCTTGTACAATGTGAAAGACTAAAGTTGTTTGTGATAGTAAGTTCTTAGTTCTTCACCCAAAATCCACTGAAAAAGAAGTGGATTTGTCTGGACCTCAGCAAGCTTTAAATGAACCCTTTGTGCCAAATTTAACACCACACTATGTTTTTATAGCATTGGGGCTTTGATGATGAGCTTTTTGTTCAGCAGCCAGCAGTGTGGAGCACGGTACCCAGCCTAGTCTTACCACTGACAGTAACACTCATGCAATGGAGAGCAGCGGCTGGATGTTATGAATACCTGATGGGAAAAGCGAGTTCGGAAAACAGAGTCCTCTCTCTCAAACGATTTATCAGTGGTCTCATCTTACAGCTTTTCCTGCCTGCTTTTGTGTGGAAAGGTGATACTCTTGCACAAATTTCTTATTTCTAATTCTTTGCCTCTCTGATTTGATCCTGATTTGACTTTAATAGGTATCTAGGAAACAATTTCTTTATGGAATATTTTCCCCCTTAATATATGTGTGTGTGTGTATATATACACATATATACTTATGTGTGTATATATATATAAAAGCTATTCTCTCAAGCTTTTCCTCATAAGAGCTACTCTCAAAAGGTTTCAGGGTGTTGTGATCAACATTACATTCCTGTGGAGAAGTAGCACAGTCAACCAACAGCTGTGGAGCTGACTGGAAATCAGAGAAGGGACCTGTGGTGTTCTGGTTCTTTTTCCAGTAACGGTGGCCATGTTTTTGCTGTGTGGTTTATTCTCAGGATGTTGTACATCAGACTTCTAAGTTGCCTTCCTGCTTTCCATCTCTTATTTTTCTTTCTCCCTGAACCCACCTGCTGCGTAGGACACTTGAGGTGCAGCCTCCTGCTTGCTATTTGTAGAAGACCTCGGAGAACAAGTCTTAGCTTTTAATCCTTAGCTTAGAGAAAAGGACCCCAGAAAGACTTGCATTAAGTATCTATTTACCCACAGTTATAAAATATTTTACAGAGGTCCCAGGTAATGAGACTTTGGGAGAGTAAAATATCTTCCAGATCTCACTTGGTGCCGTGCTAGCAGAACTGGGGATGGGAGCACCTAAGTTTCCTAACTTTGGAGGTCTTTGGGCTCCATCCTTTCTTGCTGAGGCAGGCAGAAGATACTCAACCATTTGGTTAAATGAACTGAATAGCAAAACCAAAAGCCCAGCACGTGTTGAGGCTGAAGGGGACGGAGGAAGCAGTGCCATGCATGGTGCTGTGGTTCTGCTCAGCTGGTGCAGCAGTGTGTCCTTGTGTTGCAGGGGCAGAGCAGAGTGCATGTGTGTGTAGGGAAAGGATTTACATTGCAGGTAAAGAGTGTGTCTGAACCCCTTTGGGCAAGTAAGTGTGTCCTGACTT